TGTGTAGCCGGCCGGATAGTTCAGTTGGTCTTCTGAAAGTCATGGGTTCGAGTCATGATCAGGCAGTTTCAGTCAGGGTTTAGAAGTGGTTTTTCAACTGACACATGTTTGATTCATTTAATAGATTGCATTTAATTTGAAATGGACAAAGGCAGTTTTGCTTGATACTTTTAAATCTACAAAAAGCATTTGGTACAGTTGATCACACTAACTGCACATGAAGAAGTTCTTTTTTCTTCTTCTTCATCCCTTCAAGCATCTGCCATATGTAATGACATTCTTGCATGGTTCAAGTCTTATCTATGATAGCAGCTGGTGAATGTGGCTGGTACTCCTTCTCTCTGAATACCTATGGTGTCCCCCTGATGTTCATTTTAGGTCCTCTTTTATGTATGACATGTCTGCAACCCTAAGCAATAAGCTTTTATTATATGCACAGGCACAAGTATCAGACCTGGAAGAAAAAATATTACCAGATTGATAAAAAAAACCTGTGTTCATCTTAAAAGTGTCACAAACCCAAAAAAAATGTTAATGATGACCCCCTTTAAAAATATACTTTAAGTTAATAGTATATTTTTAAAGGGGGTCATTATTTACATTTTTTTTTTGGTTTTTGACACTTTTAAGATGAACACAGATTTTTTATTAATCTGGTCATATTTTTTCTTCCCAGGTGTGATACTTGTGCCTGTCATTATATGATGATGACTCAGGTATCCTTGTATCTGGTAAAGTAAATCTTAAGATTGGTTTATTGACTATAAATTGTCTTTGCATCTTGGCAAGACAGAGTCTATTCTTTTTTGGTTTAAGTTTCAACATAAACTGGGCCAAGCCTCCAGGTCGCATGAAATGGTACTGCTATAAAGTACACATCTTTTGTTAAGTATTTAGGTGCAAACCTGGATCAAATTCTTTTGGCGTCGCCCTTTGATGCTTTGCATCAATGCTTTTCTTGTAAGCTTATTGAAACACTCTTGAATTAGTTCCTAGAACCAACCAGTAATACTTGATGAGTGTAAAGTTTCTTGCTCAAGGAAACAACGGCTGACCCCTGGCAGGCTTTGAACCAATGTGTCTAGCAAGCCTTAGATTATAAGTCTGACATGTTAACCACATTGGCACACCATCACTCATTAAATATCTTCTACTGTGTTCAGATAAAATTCCCTACTTACATTTTTTTTAAATGCTTTATATTATTCTCACTGATTTATTTTGACCTATTGTTTGGAAGGGGGACGTCATCTGTATTTTTTTTTTTGAAGAATGAAAACTGTAAACTGTTTATGTTTGAGGAATGACATAAACTTTAAAAACATAATATAATATTAAAGGAAAATAAATATAAGTGTCTGTATCTAAATTGTACTCTAAAAGGCTCTATTAATATTACTTTATTAAAATACGTGTACAATAAAATTTTCCCTCTTTTAAAGTGCTCTGACAATATTTCCTTAAATGAGAAAAAGAATTTTCAAACCTGTCATTATTCTTCACTCATTCAATTTCCACATTTTCTAAATTTTCAACAATTATTGAAAAGCTTTAATTGATAGAATGTGACGTTTTCATGTTATACATTCATTTTAAGATTAATATTTGAAACCTTAAAGTTTATGATCATCATATAGCTATGTACATGTACATCAGAAGCACAAGCAGTTTCACTCAGTCAGCATTTGGTTAGAACTCAAGTTGGATAGCTTCCTTTAAAGAAAATACAGACAAAGCCTTCTTAAGGTAGTATTAAAGTAATACTTTCCTGCATAAATATTTCTAACATTGGCCAATATGGTAATAAATCGGTCATTTCCGAACGTTATTTTTTTCACAATCTTCGGTGTTCAATAACTTTTAACTGTTTATAACCAGAATTTAGTACATAGCAATTACATTGTAAGTAAAGCCTACTCAATGTACATTGTAAGTAAAGCCTACTTAATATACATTGTAAGTAAAGCCTACTTAATATACATTGTAAGTAAAGCCTACTTAATATACATTGTAAGTAAAGCCTACTTAATATACATTGTAAGTAAAGCCTACTCAATATACAATGTAAGTGAAGCCTACTCAAAATACATTGTAAGTAAAGCCTACTCAATGTAGGTAAAACCTACTGTAACTCAATGTAAGTAAAACCTACACTCTTAATATAATTACATGTATGCAAGCCATTGCAAGTTCCTACTCATCACTCAAAACTAATATGTCTATTAAATAAGCTTGATGATCAATTTACAATATATTGCAATAAGTGTTTCACACATGATTGATGAAAACAATGAATAATTTAAGTGGCCTAATTGCAAGAGAGTAAACAATCAACATCCTATATGACATGTTTTCCTATCTAATTCAAATGATACAGAGAGTTTAATACAATTATCTATTTCCTTTAACATAGTGCAGACATATGTAAGGTTGAAGTTAATAGTTCAGGTTACAGCTTTTGTTAGATGGTCTATAAAGCCTTTGGCTATTGTTAAACACCATCTTCTTTATGTAACACCAACATTACAACCAATTATAGGACAGTATAATGATTACTGATCATCATATGATGGTGTTGCTGACCAACAACGCCTGCAGGGAGCAACACCTAGTGACCTACAAAATGTAGGGATCATATGATGTATGTGTCATCTATATTAAAGGCACATTGTGCCTCAGAAATGAAAAAAAAGTCCATCTTTACAGAGGGCAAACATGTGTTTCAAACTGTTTAAACAGTTTTAGAGCATGTTAGATGCTTATCACCTTAAGAAAGTAGTGCTGATAGTGAAATTAGCTGTTATAAAGGTAGCAAAATGTAAACAAAGTAGTATTTTGATTTCCATATAATGTACTAAATCACGATAGTATAACTTTACTAACTGCCAAAAAGCAACAGAAGCCAAAGATGGTTAAGGTAATTACAAATATAGGTAATGAGTTACTTTCAGTCTGGCACCAGAAGAGCTTTTCAGAAATAAAATTTAAAGAATTTCTGGGGCATAATGGGCCTTTAATAACACTATGTGTGTATATATCTGTGACCTAACAAACATATTTTAACACTGTAATACATTACTTTGTACATATAAATTAGACCTATCACCTTAATACAATGTGCCACAGTCTGACTAAAATCAGCTCCCAAATATAGTCCTATAATTATGACGTCGCTTTGAGATATTCAGGCTTGACTGACATAAACTATAACAAGCCTGTAACGTCTAATATATTGGACTACTCCTAAATAATGCAAGACGCTAAAAAAACTTTCAATTTTAGACAGATTGGATACTTTCCTGATACGATACATTTGAGTCCAATAAAGTCAAGCCAACTTTACAATTTAAATTTACATGTAGCATAGTAAGGGTTATTGAGAATTTAATATTAGGATGATTGCAAAATTTGTTGACTTTTATGAAATGTGTATATGTGAGGAGAGGCCATAAATAATTTAATTGATGTAAAATCTTCAAAAAACAAGGACAAGAATGGTGACATCATTGTCCAGGGTCCGTACTCTCTGTGCCTGAAAGGACAGATGGACCTTCTTTAAGCCTAGAATACATACAAATCTTAAACATTTAGAAAAATAAATAGTGCCAATACATCAATACAGGGCTTCCATTAAGTCCCAAAATTTGGAAGTCAGAGACTGCAAAATGTTTAACTTTGGAAGTTTTTAATGTTTTAATAATAATAATTTAAAATCTGAGTTTGTGAAAGAGGGAAGATTTTTTTAAGAGAAGCCACTTGTTAAAAACAAGTTTCTGTAAAAAGAAAAAATTGACAAGCTTTTTGACATGACATATCAAGTGTACACTGTAGTAAGTGTACAACATGTGTTTCTCTTTAATGTAGCAAATCTTGGTTGATCTGCACTTAATATGCTACTTGTTGACAAAATGTTTCAACGTGATTAACTGTACCAGTTAGTTATGGCACATACTTCCTCTTAATCCTCAAGTACCAATATCCTTATAAAGTATAATTCAATGAAATACATTTTGAGTTCTTACAATTCAACTTTTCATGCATATTGTATAGAGATGTATATAAGTACAGGGTTGTCATTAATAACATTTTTTGCAGAAGGTTTGTTTTGAACTTGAGGCGGTCATTTCTGTCTTTATCATGCATAACAAAGAGTGTTTTCTTAATTTTGAGGCGGCCCATAATGCATTTGAGACAGGCATTTTGGCCTCCTGCCGCCTCTTAATGACAACCCTGAAGTATATTGTCTTAAATATCAACTTTTCTTACTATAAATTCAATTTTCTATTACCTTTAATATATATTTCTATTCTATTAACATTTTTTTAGAAAGCATGTTTAAAATGAATAAAAAAACTTGCATATAATTAGAAAAATAGGCGTAATATGTAATATATATGAGCCGTGTCACGACAAAACCAACATAGTGCTTTTGCGACCAGCATGGATCCAGACCATCAGTTTCTCTACTTATTATAGAGTTGGTAAGTGAACAACATGGATCAGACTGCAGGGACGCGCAGGCTGGTCTGGATCCATGCTGGACGCAAACGCACTATGTTCGTTTTGTCGAAACGCGGCTCAATTATAAAATTATTGTTTAACGCCTCAATCTTATCAACCCTAAATCCTGCCACTTGCAAAAATTTTATCTGTAATAATAAAAAAACTTAAACAGTTATTTTCTTAACTGTTAGTGCTTTTAGTAGTGAAGATTCCCAGTCACTAAAAATCAAAGACTGGTAAGTTAAAGCCTATCCAATTCTATTAAATGAATAACAGGGGTACATGTACAACTGTCAGAACTGTCTTAACTTAAGTACACAACAGTAACATAAACAAACAATTTTAAAAACACAACATGCGTCAGAAGTGATGTTGATGTCAATAGCCTAACTAAGGGTTATGGTGTAAATACATACATGTATATTCATGTATATATATATACTTTTTAATATATAAATATGTGGACACTTGATAAACAGAAATACTTTCATGAATACCTTATCTTTTGTTGAAGGCAACTGCTGGTCACCTTTGTATATCACAGGTCTAACAATCTCATGATGTGAGAATTCTGAGGCTGCAGTTTTAAATAATGGTTTGAAATCATCTGAAAAATAAATCATGTCCAAATAATAATCCATCATCAATTATTATCAGTGATATCAGTCATATACATATGAGACGTGTCATGACAAAACCAACATAATGGGTTTGTGACCAGCATGGATCCAGACCAGCCTGCGCATTCGCGCAGTCTAATCAGGATCCATGCTGTTCGCTATCAGTTTCTCTACTTGTAAAAGGGTTTGTAAGTGAACAGCATGGTTCCTGATCAGACTGCTCAGATGCGCAGGCTGGTCTGGATCCATGCTGGTCGCAAACACACTATGTTGGTTTTGTTGTGACGCGGCTCATATATACTTTATAGTTAATTAAAACTTTATCATCCTCCTTTCAAATCATAAATTTGTTAATTAATGAAAATAATTGCTGTACAGAAAGAAATCAAAGTAAAATAATACATACAAATTACAATGTATGTAGTTTCAAACTTAAGCATATGAATTTCATAGAAACAAACATACATTATTAAATTTTAAGATTAGATTATGATAAGTAAATAGAAAATTACACATCAACGCCAGGATGTTTATATTATTTTTATATCTACCAGTTTCGAGCTACCGTGAAGTCTTATTCAATTTTGTGATGGAAACTATGCTGAAATTAATTGAATATGTATTCATTCGCTTTTGATGCTTCCAATCAGTAACTAATAAATGTGATTTGTGCTGTCTACATGTACCCAGTGTCTATTCTAGGAATTCAAAAATAGGGGTGATTTTCCCCCCTCTATTTCAAAAAAGGGGGCGATTTTCAAAATAAAGGGGTGCCAATATAATAATAAACTGCCATTGTTAAATCGTCTGCATTAAGTTTACACTGAGGCGTTCAACCGATGAAATAATTAAAACGAAAATATTGATATTTGATGTTGATTTAGAAAAAATGATAGAGTTAAATTTTAATGAAAAACTTCAGAAAGTTAAAAATAGTATAGGATACTGGAAAAAAAGAATGTTAACACCAATAGGAAAAATTACTGTTGTTAAGTCATTACTCCTTCCTTTATTCACTCATTGCTTTACAAGTTTACCAACACCTAATTCAGCATTTTTGAAAACACTTAATGACTTATTTTATAAATTTATATGGGAAGGTAAAGCAAAAATAAAGCAATCAGTAGTTACTAAAACATATCAGGAAGGTGGTCTAAATATGATTGATATTGATAGTTATATACATTCTGTAAAGATAAAATGGTTTAAAAGATATGTTAGTAATAGTAACAGTAAATGTTATAAGCTAGTGATAGCTTTATTCAATATTGATAAAGTGTTTAGCACAGGGAAATTGTTTTGTAAATTGACAATTGATAAAATTAAAAATGCTTTTTGGATAGATGTTTTAAAAGCTTATATGATTTTTACAGATAAACTTTGTATAGACAGTTTAGAACAAGTGTTACAAATGCCATTGTTTTACAATCATAACTTGTAAGCAGGAAGTAGATACTTTTATATTAAATTTTTTTATGAAAAAGGAATCAGATTTGTTAAGGATATTATTAATCCCCAAGGCGACTTTGTAGATTTAACTTACTTAGAGCAGGTGACACAAAAACAAGTAAATTTTTTACAATATCATAGTTTGAAAAAAGCAATATTATTATATACACAAAAGCTTAACATTTCTATTTGTAAAGATTTTATTAATGTTCAATACCCTATTATGAGTTGTTATATTAAACCTATTTTAATTACACAAAATAACAAAAAGAAATATGTTTATGAAATTCTAGTTAGAAATCAAGATGTACCAACATGTCAAGAAAAATGGAACTCTTTTTTTACAAATTTTGATATAAATTGGAATTTAATATATAGTTATGTATTTAAATGTACCAAAGATTCCTATATTCAGTGGTTTCAGACAAGAATAATTCATAGAACTTTAGCAACAAACTCACTTTTATTCAAAATGAAAATTGTTAATAGTAAAATGTGTACTTTTTGCAATTGCCAAGAGGAAACTCTGTTGCATTTATTTTGGGAATGTCCAAAAAATCAATCGTTATTTCAATATCTGAAAGACAAGATAGATAATTTTGACGATAATTTTAATTGTAAATCATTTATTTTAGGTTCTGAAGTTAATGATTTTAAATATGATATTTTGTTTTTAGAATTGAAAAGATATATTTATTTGTCAAAGAGAAAAATCATATTACCTACAATACCTGGTTTTAGAAATAGTCTTAAATTGGCGTGGAATATTTACAAAAATACAAATTTGACAAAACATGTAAATGAAGGATGGCAAATTGTAAGAACTTTAATAAACTAATGGGCTACACTAAATTAATTTACCCCAAACCAATATTCTTTGTTTGTTTGAATTTTTTGCATAATACATTATTGTTATACTTATTATATGAAAATTGATTGAATGTTTGAATATAATGTATATTGTAATTATATTATTATAGATGTCTCTGATGATGATTTAAATATTATGCAGATATCATGTAAGGTATCAGAGGGATGACCCCGACCCTCTCATACCTATTACGGGGTAAATAAACGGGGTTACCCAGTTAGGGGCCTCAAAAAAAAAAAAAATAAAATAAATAAATAAAACGAAAATATTTATTTCAGGCAGCAGAAGTTGTCCCCCCGTAATTTTTAAACGAAAACAAATTATTATAGAGCTGTCGCAATTGATTATAAAGGGATTGACAATACAAACAATTGATCTATCTTTCACGTCTAGATCGTAGCCAAGCTAGGAATTGCCTCATTTTTCTTGATTATTTACTACACTAAAATGGTGCCCAACTGTCAGACCTAGCACACTAGTTCCGGTCGGTACGGAACATTCCGTCAATTTCCGTCAACTCATGTAACCAATCCATACGGTACTAAATTATAATAATAAGCTTACAGTTACCTCCCTTCGGTTTCCGGTGTAAATGTAAACAAAACAACCAAATATAATGCAGGATGGAAGTTTAACGATTTTATTAACTTTTTTAATAGATGCGCGATTTTCAAGCACATGATTTTGAATTGTGCGCGATCTGTAAAATACTAGTGTGAATCGCGCAATCGCGCGTCCTAGAATAGACACTGTGTACCAAACTCAAAGTAACTTTGTGATGGACCACTGATTATTCAGAGACAGTCTGACATTGCAATTTGGACAATACATTGTTACTGTATCTCTTGAAAGACATTTTGTCTAAAATAAAAGCATCATACTGACCAGATATTACTGGGGCAGATGAAATCTAAAACTCATTTTTTATACTCCAATATTACTGTCCTTCTATGGGGGTTGTCATGACTGTGGTCACAATTTCACAATGACTGACCAGTGCATGAATTCTTTTTAATTCCTTGCTGGTACTTACATTGTAATGTATGTATACTTCATTACTTGTCTACATTTAATTTTAATTAGCATTACATGTAAGTGTCTTGCTCAAGGAAACAACAAGTCCTTCTGACCAGGCTTGAACCAATGCAGCTAGGAATCATTAGAAAACTAGCCCAGACACTTTAAGTAACCACTGACAATTAACCACTTGGCCACTGCCACAGACAACACAAGTTGACAAACCAGTGGTGTACAAAATTGGTGTGACTACCGGTAAAGATAACTTATACTGTAGGTTTAACATTTTATGGAACTACCCGCAAAGGATTTTTAAATTACTCTTAACTGGGAAATAGAACATCATTGAAAAATAGAATAAGCAAGATAATAAAATTATATGAAGACAACATCTACAGTAATGTCATAAATTTATAAGTTATGACAGTAAAATTTGCAAGATCACTTGACTTCTCATAATGATTTATTGAATGGGACAATTAAACTTAAAAAACTAAGTAAATGTCTCAGATTAATAATGCTTATTAAATGATTTCTGCTTTCAAAGACAATCCCTCAAAGGGGCAGCACGAAATACCCAAATATACCCAAATACACCCAAATATACCCAAATATTGCCCAAATATACCCAAATATTGCCTAAATATACCCAAATATTGTCCAATTATACTAAAAATAGATGTTTAATACTAAAAAAGTGCTGTTTTAATCATGAATACAATATACACTTTCACTAAGATATAATCAAACATACCCAAATATACATTTTCATTGTGTTTTGAACCAAGATACAGTATATATATGTACTCCATTAAAGCTATTTTTTTAATAACATGGACATTCTTCTTCTATATGATATGAAATTTCAACAAAATTACACCTTAAAAATGTAAGTGTAGACAACAAATATCATATCTTGAATTAAAATTGCATTCATAAAGAAGTGATATTGTAGATAAGCAAATGTCACAACTTTATTTTCTTACAACATCTTAACTGTCCATTTCAACGGAATGAATGAAAGTTATAGCAGGCTAAGTCATATTATTTTATAAATATTTATTTATTTCTCATTATAATCTATATTTTATACAAACAAAAATAAATATTGCTATATTTGGGTATATTTGGGTGTATTTGGGTATATTTGGGTATTTCGTGCCGCGGAATGAATGAAAGTTATAGCAGGCTAAGTCATATTATTTTATAAATATTTATTTATTTCTCATTATAATCTATATTTTATACAAACAAATATAAATATTGCTATATTTGGGCAATATTTGGGTATATTTGGGTGTATTTGGGTATATTTGGGTATTTCGTGCCGCCGCCTCAAAGCCCTAAATGAACTTTATTTACATTTTTAATGGTAAAAGCCGAGGACAACCGTATATTTGACTATCATCAGCAGCTTTATTTCATTATAATTTATTATCGACCGTATTATATTTCATGAAAGAATAATATCAATTAAATGTACCTGTATTTATTTCGATAACATTCCCGTTACAATCATCAAGACAAATAATAAGATTAATTAATCCAAAAAGATATGCTAGTAATTCCATCTTTTATCATTTTTCTGTGGATGCTTACAATTTACGAAACAACAATGAACGAAATTCTATTTTACGGAAAAGGTTCGGCTAGTTACAGAATTAAACCTTATTCGGTCAGAAACTACTAAATTTAAATTTTAAGGGCGGAAAAAAATGTATACGCAGTAGTCCCCCTTTGCTTGCAGATGTAGCTTTGTTCATGAAACCACTATCAGATGTTTGGAAACAAATGGAGCTGAGTCATTGTGCGTGGCTCACATAATGGTCAATACACAACATAATAATTTACATTGTTATACTTGAGTTTGTTCATGAGAGATAGAATGTGAAAAATCTTGAACACTCTCAGCACCTTTTGATACTAGACACTAAAACAAGTGGAATCAATGATCTTTAAGGACCAGAAAAATGTCAACACACTGTTGAAAAGTACAGCTGTTAATGAAGAAAAAAGGCAAGTAAGTAAGCGTATATTGATAATGATTAGGACCTCGTATTTAGTATTTGAAACAGATATGATTACTACTCATGGCACCATGTAATTAGAGTCCGTGATGACACTAATAACTATAATCACCACATACTGCTCACGCTACTAGAACATTATTCACCCACTGCATATTACTAACGCCACTGTAGTACATTACCTATGCCATTAGAATATTACCCACAACATACAACTCATGGCACTAGAACATTACCCACTACATACTATTATGAATATTGCCGAACGAATACTTCTCGTAGCACTTTCAAACGTTAGTAACTGCATAAAATTCATGTCATAACTACTGCACCCCACTCTGAATATTACCAACAATATACTACTGGCACAACTATGACCATAATATCGAATAAACACATAGTGCTTAGCACATTACTCACTGCATAATACTTACGCCACTACTAAATACTACTCCAGTCAGATGAAACTATTTGTTGTTTTTATTGCATGCTTTGCATCGGACAGTGAATTTATGTTTTGATAATATCGCAATGAAATTATAAAATGTTTTTAAATTTGAACAGTAGTCGGATAATATTTAAGGTGGAGGTTATGGTAGAGTTGGTTGATTTACCCTCCAGATCACGGCAGTAAGCCACATTGAATTTGCCAGAGCACAGTTTAGCCACTGCATCGTTCCTCACGTGACCATTGTCGCAAAAACGCGTTTCGAAGAGCAGCCGTTCTTTTGCACTATTAAAGCAAACTTTATTTTTATGAGACATAAATGTCAATAAATCTACCAATCTCAGCTAGCTTACGGAAAATCGGTGGCTATACTCAGGTGCCCGTTCGAGGGTGGAAATAATCCACAGATGTAAGCCTGAGGTCTTTCTCCACCAGTAAAGCTGGAAAGTCGTCATATCA